GTCAAAAGTCAAGCAAAAATTGGACTGATATTGGGCACTATTTCAAGCACAATTTTTTGAGACGTAAATTGTACCTATAGCTCGTTCGATATTCGCGCACTGAGGTGAGTATGCTGGGCGTAGAACCTACGCCCAGCATACTCACTGAACGAAGCCTATAACTCCGAAGTTATTCGAGCACTGTTTTTTCTTTTTGGGCACCGTTTGGCACTATTTGGGAACTATTTTTTGAAGTATGAATTATGTTTGAAGCGTATACAGATTCTCCGGACGGAGGTGAGTATGCTGGGCGAAACCTTCGTCCAGCATACTCATCGAACTATGGCTATAACTTCGCAAGTACAAGAGCACTATTTTTTTCCTTTGGGCACTATTTAGCACTATTTCAGAACAGTTTTTTGACATTCATGAAATATCAGGATTCCATGGTGAGTATGCTGGACGAAGGGACACGATCTCCTGATGGTAAGCAATCGGCGTCGCTCATGGACACCCGGAACCACAAGTGTGAATCGGCCTTTTGGGGACTAGGTATTTGAGGACTGTTGGGCTTGGGAAGTTGATTGTTTATATATATTTACATTACCTAACTGACGGACTAATTTGATTTTTAAATCGCCCTGTCTTCATCCATACTGCATCACGTAGTGTCAGGGCGCCCGTGTGTACCGCACTCCGCATGCAGTCTCGCGGGCAGTTCGGCCCTGTAGCGATAAATGCATACTATAGCAACTGTTATCTTTTGGCAGACATTAATAAACAGTCGCTCGACCGGTGCAGGCGCATTTAAACGCATTCTTTAACAATATAAGTGATTCGATTTATTGCGCAGTTCTGAGGAAACAAATTCCTTCAATCTCGTCATTTGGGAGATTCTACGGCGACTGGATGTAAGTTATTTGACAAAAGTGTTATTTAACTCAATTAGGTACATATGCGAGTGAAGTGGAATTTCACAACTGTGTTTTGAAGCAGACATCTTCAACCGGTTGAGTTGAAATTTTGTGTACCAACAATTCTTAAATTCCTAATCCCCAAAAGGCCGGTAACGCACTTGTAACGCCTCTGGTGTTCCGGGTGTCCATGGGCGACGCCGATTGCTTACCATCAGGTGATCCGTCTCGTTTACCGATTTATCACATAAAAAAGGTTATAAACGTGGTAAATTATGAGTACCTACTTATGGGTAGGTACATATTCATGTCCCAAGCCTGCGGCTGAATGGGACCAGCCAGGTTATTCTGTAAGATGTGTGGAGGATTTCGTGGGACAGCCCTAAAATTTGCAACGCCTTAAAAAGGCCGTTAAGCTGTGCCTGTTACTTCATAAGACCTGTATGTATTACCTACCTTTACATGCTAATAAAGACTTTGAGTTTTGAGTGAGAACTCAACTCAAGGTAAGGATGACTCAAACATCATTATAATACAGCCCGATTCAAGAGGTGAGGAACAAAATGTGACATTCTTTCTTCTTTAAAAAACGTTGCCCCACACTAGGACTGTCTCCTGTGTCGTATGTACTAACATACAAGTTCACATACACATCACACACAGAGTCGGAACAACAATCTGCGGATCACACAAAGAGTTGTTCCGTGCGGGAATCGAACCCGCGACAGGTTGTGCGGCAGTCGTGCAGTCATAATTAATTATGAAAGACAGAACAATTTAATTCATATTTAATACAGAAATAAGATAAAACATTACTGCATTGTTTTTCCTTGTAAATCGTAATAGCTTTACAAGGAAAAAATATGTATGCGAAGTAATATTGACGTCTCAAAATAAAACAGATGAACAAACAACAACGGTGACATTGAGAAGGTTATGAACCAAATGTCGCGGTGATCGGATGCGGTGCCCGCCGCGCCGCCGCCGCCGCCCCGCTGCCCGCAAAATTCGAGGCAGAGGCCTTGACCCCCACTGCTCACATCTCATCGTGTCGGTCTGCCGTGCCATCGGGTTCGGAGAGTGAGGGAACCACAGAAATACTAAAATGGATGGTGTTCGATACTATATTTTGCAATCGACCACGGTTGCTAACTTAGCAATACGACGCGACAATACAGCGCGTCGCTAACGCAGAGTACACAACGAACAGCGAACCGGGTACATTCATAGCTATTGTCATTACTAAGGAGGAGGCGGAGCGCGTTAGGTAGCGCAGCGCTACCTCCTCACAACCCAGCCATCGCGAAAGACACTCCAGGCATCGGGGATCGCGGGACGATCTCCGGCCACCGTAAGCGCGGGCCTGCGGACGGCGAGCATGGGTGGCTCGCCGCCCGACCGTACGGCGCGTCGCGTTTCGCACGCGGCTTAAAGAGCCATCAAACAACCACGGATGGGGCCCAACAAGCCTGATGCCGATTCGGAGCAGCGGAGAACTGAACGGGTTACCGCTCCAGCTCGAAGCACAGGAGTAGGTCCGGAGTGGTTCTTAGTCAGTAAGAGTCTGACACTCCCTCCCGCCTCACCCGGGCGGGAGAAGTCATTCGATGACTTTCCCCCTTAAAAAAAACCATTGTCACTAGCCATTATTTTAGCATAGTTAGTTTCGTGGAATAAACTATTTTTATATCAAGTGCAACACACTGTTTTAATAGTGACTCCAAACCAGCCACTAGCACATAGCTCGCGACCCAAACAGAGGGAACAAAGAGTGCACCGTGTCGGTCGTTGCGCAAACAATTGTGCAGTATGAATAAGTAAATATGTAACATAACATAACATCACGCCTTTTATCCCCAAAGGCATATAAGCTGAGGTGTACATTCCGGCACTTAATGCCACTGTACATACAATGTTACACCCTCTTTTCACTATGAGTCCCATGTAATAGGGGATCAGTCTATTGCCATATACCGGGCACAATTCCAGACTCCGTGCCACTACTGAGATTTTTCAAAACCCAGCAGCGGCCCGGGAATCGAACACAAGACCCCTTGCCCGGAAGACGCACTTGCGACCACTCGGCCAACGATGCATTCCTAAATATATAAAAAAGTATAATATCTCCTATGCGTAGTGGGCAGTCTATTTAGACTTGCGCGCGTCGACAACTGATATAAATAATTTTGTGTTTTAGAATTCCTAGCACTTTCAAATTCACCTAAAGTTGACAGAAATAGACGTAATGAAATGAGGTCATCACTGAAAAACACACAATGATGCATCGTAATGAATGTGGAATATGTAAACGCGGGGCCGCATTTGTATGGTGCTTTTTTTATGGCATAAGCCTGTAAACGAGCAGACGGATCACCTGATGGTAAGCAATCGGCGTCGCCCATGGACACCTGGAACACCAGAGGCGTTACAAGTGCGTTACCGGCCTTTTGGGGATTAGGAGTTTGAGGATCGTTGGGGATTCAGGAATTGGGGAGATTGGGGAAGGGGAGGGTAATTGGGCCTACGGTAACCTTATTCACACGACGAAACACAACGCAAGCGTTGCTTCACGTCGGTTTTATGTGAGACCGTGGTATCACTGCGGTCGAGCCGACCCATTCGTGCCGATGCATGGCTCTCCCACACTTAGACTTGCTTTGTGTTGCGCTACAATAATGTTGTCGTCGCTGCGTCGTCTTCGTCTTCCATATATTTTTAACTGACTTCCAAAAAGAAGGAGGTTCTAAATTGGGCCGGTATCTTTATTCTTATATATGTAGGCACCTACATGGATTACACCGCGGTTTGTAGACGGACGACGATGCGTGTTTTTTACCGACTTCAAAAAAAGGAGGAGGTACTATGTTCGGCTGATTGTTTTTTTTTTGTTTGTCCGTCGATTACTCCGCTATTTGTGAATCGATTTCCAAATTTCTTGTTTTGTTTGAAAGGGTATACTCCCGAGATGGTCCCATTTCCATGAGATCAGGACCTTTTGATGAAATCCGAGAGGAACTTTAGAACATTGTAGAGGCGAGTAATGCATATATTATGTTAATCAATTAAATTTTTTATACACTACGATTTGATAAGGGTCTGGAGTAACTTGATGATGGAGCCGTCAGACAGTCGAGAGAACTCCTCAACGGTATACAGTAACTACCTTGTGTTTGGGCTTGTATAATTTGTATTGATTAGAACTTTGCACCCATGTAGATTATTAGTAACAAAACGGATCTATGTAGCTTTACACTGAAAATTATAAAATAATAAAATAAAAACTGCGTTTAAAAAACCGACGTCAAAATACCAAAAACTAATAACAAACAAAAAGTCAAAACTAAAAAGCAAAAAATAACTATTATTAGTACTGATAGGTTACCCACCCACTGATAGGTTAGAAGTCAGTGCTATAATAGAAGTAATAGTAGTTACAACTACTGATTATTTAATTTTGTCATACGCGTGACTCCCAGACCCGGAATAACAATTTGTGGATCACACAAAGAGTGCTCCGTGCGGGATTCGAACCCGCGACACGTTAATATGCAGCACCGCACTAACCGAATGATGTATGGTATATTTACTTGTAAGGCATTATTTTGCATGGATTTGGCATGTACAGTCAAAGGTTAAAAGTCCGTACGCATAAACACACGCACGCCTACGCACACGGATACAAATATGCGTGTACATGTGTGTGTAAGCGCTGCAGCGCAACCGATAGTAGTCTAAAGCGGAGAATCTAACGGGTAACCGGGGCTCCGGCTCGACGTGCAGGAGAAGGAACGGGGTGGTTTTTAGTCAGTAATAGTCTGACACTCCTTCCCGGCTCACCCAGGCGGGAGCAGTATTTCGATGATTTTCCGAATGAAGAGTAGGTATCCTCAAAGTGAACACGCTGGCGGCGTCCAAACAGGTAACTGCGAAGCCAGTCAAGAACCGATGGAGATATGTTAAGAGAGCTGAGTACACCAAGCAGAATGTCGAAGTCAACCGTACTAAACGCATTGCTAAAATAATATTATCTAAATATAAACGAGGGTAAAGATAAAAATAATACGACAGACATCTAAAGAACCGGATAATTAACGATCGAGCTACACATTGTATTTATTTTTATGTTATTTAATGACATACGATATTTCGCATATCTCGGCAGTTGCAACCCTGACTGTCCCTGACCTTGGCGCAATGGTTATCGCTTGGTGCATCATATCATATTTTGTAAATATTTTTAACTTTACCCATGTATTAAAAATTATTCTTTCTACAGTCGAGTACAAATGGGGATACAGACACTAAAATGATATTATTATCGTCGTGTGAGTGAGGTTACCGGAGGCCCAGTTACCCTCCTCCCTAGTCCCCGTCTCCCGAATTCCCGGTAACTTGTAACGCCTTGGTGTTTCGGGTGTCCGTGAGCGACGTCGATTGCTCACCGTGCTGGTTGGCTGGTTACTGGGTTGCTTCGCGATGGTGATCCGTCCGCTAGTTGACCGGATTACTAATGCTATAAAAAAATTACCCACACATCCTAGACATGTCCCTGAAGTCGACGATCAAATGGCACCAGGTGATCGGCAAGGTTCCAACAGTTATCAGAAAAATCACTACATAGTATAAAACAAAGTCTATCCGCCGTCTGTCTGTCCCTATGTATGCTTAGATCTTTAAAATAACGCAACGGATTTTGATGCGGTTTATTTTAGTAGATACAGTGATTCTTAAGGAAGTTGCCGAGCCGGAGCCCCGGTTACCCGTTAGGTTCTCCGCGACTCCGAATCGGCATCGGCCCTGTTGGGCCCCATCTGTGGTGGTCTAATGGCTCTTTGAGGCGCATCGCGTTCCGCGCGCGCCTCTCGGCGTACCTCGCGTACGCTCGGGTCTGTTTCTGGTCGGACGGGGAGCCACCCATGCTCGCCGTCCGCAGGCCCGCGCTTACGGTGGCCGGAGATCGTCCCGCGATCCCCGACGCCCGGTGGGTCCTTCGCGATGGCTGGGTTGCGAGGAGGAAGCACTTCACTGCCTCACGCGTCCCGCCTCCTCCTTAGCTAGCATAACTGCTTCGCAAAAGGAGGAGACGGCATCCCAGTCCACCTCGCTCCGCATCATGACCTGCACTAGGCCCGGACGCGAGAGGTCGCCATCGCCGATCACTTCCCTGAGGGCACGGCGGTACTCAGCCCACGCAGGGCATTCCGCTACAGAATGTTCCACCGTGTACTCAGGGCGGTCCTCGCAGTGATGACACCCGGGCGTTTCCGCCCGCCCCATCAGACACAGGTACCTCTCGAAACTTCCATGTCCGGTGAGGATCTGCGTCAGGCGGTAGGTGAGGACGCCGTAGCGTCTTTCAAGCCACTCCTTAAAGAGGGGACTTACCGCTGCAATGGCAGCGAGCCCAGCCCTCGGTTGCAACAGTCGTTGCTGCATTCCGCGATGAGATCGCGCCGGAGCTCTTCCCGCCACGCACTTATCTGGCGAATAAAAGAGACTAATATTAAAAAATAGGTTTATATTTGTAAATATTTTAGATTTTGCCAAATATTTTGATTTCAGTGGTATTAATTTCGGTGTTTTCGGTGGAAATAGGCGCACCGGAGGCCTGCAAAGGCAAAGTTTTCGATGAAACTTTGTCAATATTAAACCGATCGGGCTGAAACTTTGCTTGTATAAAGCAATTATGACGTAGGCAACCCCTAAGAAAGGTTTTGATAAATTTAATCCCTAATGGGATAAGATAATTGAACTGAAATTATATATTGAAGCTACTATGATGAAGACATCCGCTACAATAGTTGTGTTATGGGCTTGGGCAGTGCGTTATATATTAAAGGGGTCATATAAGCACAGCTCTTTCGAAAGATTTGCAGTTTGGGAACCGGCATTTCATATGCCAAATGTAGAACCTTGTAGAATCAAATAAAAAAGAATGTAGAAATCAAAATGTATGGGGATGACACTGACAAGTGTCATAATTTTAATAAATATCTGTATTCGACAATGGCTGCGGTCCCCAACCGCGGCGGATGCGGGAGACAATCGACCCCTTAGCCTAAAAGTGCTCCATTGTGACCTGTTTGCAGAAATAAATATCATTTGTTGATTTTTACAGATCACAACTATCGAAGAATTGAGAAAACAAACATTGAAGCAAGTAAATGAAAAACTGATCATACGAACAGACGACGGAGGGATAAGACATCGACGGACGGGGCGAGGGGCTGCGTCGGCGTCACACGTCCTTCAGTACTACCGGTGAAATTGTTAAATGTTTCATTCATATAAATCTTGTACGTATAACTAGTTCGATTATATATTATCTACTTATACGGGGAACACTCTCTGTTCCCTCTCTCAGTCAAACATGTGAAGAGAGGCATCAGGGTCGACTTGACATGGTTCCCGAGGTACGGCGGTGAACCGCTATAGAACTTCCAAACTCAGTTACAGCTTGCAGTTCTGCTCATAAATTAGTAGACCAACTTGAGGCAACTGACAGAAGACAACATTGATGTTATTGTTCGCGTCACCTTGTTCCACATTCAGACCCCGTTACTATGGACGTAAAACAATATAAAAAGCGTTCAGGAACATCGGGCATACAAGGACAATTGTATGAAACGAAACTCACCAGTCTCATTAACTTCAGAGCTTTGCACAACGACACGATAGAAAGCTTCCATCTGGCCACGAACATCGATGAAATCGGCACGTTTGATGATATTTCTCTAAGAATCAAAGTATCTGAGTTCGAAAAACCTTTGGCTATATTCATCCAAGCCAAACATAGAGAAAATGATAAACTATTAACGTTCAGCAACAAGAAAGAATTAGCTAAATATTTTGATAGTTATTTGAGAATCAGACAATTATTCAGTACTAAAAATAAGAGCCCGATTTTCGGTGGAAAATTCGAAGATGTTGAATGCTTTTTTGCAATGTACACTACAGCCGCTACAGCTGAAGATGACAATAGTACTGAGTTATATGAGGGAGAATTTGCTGATTATATAAATGAACTTGTAGGAACAGGAAAAGCTTGCCGACAACCTGTTAATAAAGAAGATCATTCAGATTTTCTAGGCAAGATTGTAATGAAAGAAGAAATTGTTTGTTTAGCTATGAATATAGCTACGTTTATAACTGAACGAACTGATACAGAACTATCGATGAACAATGATTTGATGTTGCGCTATCATGTGCTCCTAGCTCTTGAAGTGTTTGATGTGTCTGAGATTCAAGATGAAGGCCATCGATTTGTGCATTTCAGAGAAGACTTTTTTGATTCTAAAAACAAATTTGTTGTACTATTTAAAAAAATACTATGCTTAGAAGTTCTAAAGAGAAATAAATCACAAATCAGTGATGAAAATATGATTAGTTTAGATTCTCTTTTATCAGAGTTTCTTGTCGAACCCAAGGAAGAACTATTGTCAAAATTAATAGGTAAAGTTATAACTTACAAGAATGATAAATTGGAATTTATCAAAAACTCTAAAAAAGATGATCTAAAACGGAAACTTGACAAATTGAATGTACCACAAACTGTTGTCTATAAGGCAGCTGTGAGTGGAGCTAAAGAATACTTACAAGGTCTCAAATTGAAGGTTCCAGCTTTTTTTGGTAACAAAGACTTGGCCATAAGAGGGAATGACGCAAAAATAGACCAAAGATTAACACATTTAACTACAACATTTGTAAAACTATTGGAAACTGTGACGACAGACAATATAATAACAATCGATGAAAGTCTTGGTGATGGCTTTCTAAAGCTGAATGGAGGATTGTCCTCAGCCGTTGGTAATATATTAGTATTGGACTATGCCACAAATCTCCTAAGATTCACAGATGATTTTGAATCACTGGGCAGTATAGCCAAGAGATGGTACGAAAAACTGAAAATTCAAATCGACAATTTAAATGAATACAAATTGGACGTCAAAGTCAAAAAGTTTCCAAAACTTTCATTCGAAACAGGAGCATACGACGATAGTTTGGTCAGAGACTTTTACAACAGATTGCTCTTTTTTACAAACCAATCAGATCAGGGTGGAGTAGAAGATGTACTCAAGAGACAAATAGAAGATCATCCGTGTTATGATGTCCACAACTTCAGAGTGAGATCTGACGTAATATATCTGAGGTATCACGACGAAGTACAAAAACTATGGATGACTCCAAAAGTGGGAACATATTTGACGAAAAAGAGCAAACTATACACAAATGCTGTTACAAACGCTATGAATGAACCTTTAATTGGAGTTTTAAACACGATGCATAGAATTAAAAACAAAGATTATGTATTTAAAGAAGAATCTCTCAAGATATTCACAGAACGTAATGTTACTGGAGCTGTTATAGCATCAGGGAGCCCAGTACTGACATCAGTCAAATTGGAACAGTATTTAGGCAAAAGGGATCATGCTGTATTGGATTTAAAATATATTTTCAAACTCCCTCATAAGAGCCTTACGATATTTTGTGAAGAACTGACGAATTGTAAGGACAAAGTACTAATAATTCTATCGAATCACATGCAAAGCTTTAGAAATTGTAACAAGAAGTTAGAGAGCATCGCAAAGGCTGTCAATGGTAAACCGACTGTTATAGTCGTGGATAAACATTCAGTGAAGACAATAAAACAATATTTCTCACAAGTCCATGATGTAGTAAATGACGATCCAATATCTCTCATAGATCTAACTGTTGAATCTCAAAAAATGGTCCTAGGAGCTGCTAAAGCTAAGTTCCAAGGTTTAGATGTAGGTTTAGATTTAATTATAGATGAAGAATCTGCAAAATTAATAGATGAAACTATGCTGAACAATATTGTTGACGGTAAGTCAATCAAAATAGGAAATGAAGACATAGATGGTAACTATGAAAGGAACAAAAAGTTGTATATAGACAGGAGAGTGACGCCAAAAGCAGGGTGCGATAATACAAACCGTATACGACCACAAACTCTATATGACTTAGACGACGACGTTGTACTACTGACAGCTTTACCAGGAATGGGCAAGTCGACTTTGATGACTCATTTGTCGTTGAAAACAAAGGAAATAAACCCTAAACTGTGGATATTAAGGATCAATTTGTTGGAGCACACGAAGATGTTGAGTGATTGGAAAGATGGCCAAACTGATATAAATGTGCTAGAGAGTTTAAGATTCATTTGTGACGTAGCCATTTGTAAGGATCACAGAGATTTTAATGAAGATGATGAATTTAAATTTGAACTGGAAGAAGTACTTGGAACGGTAATCCTAAAAAACTGGAACGAGGACAGTTTTATAGAATTCCAACTTAAATTATTTCTCTATTACTACAACACACAGAAATTAATATTCATTTTTGATGGGTTCGATGAAATATTCCCTGACTACGCCGATCAAGCACTTGCACTAGTGAAATCAGTTAGGGATTTTACTAAAAGACATAAGATTTGGATCACAAGTCGATCTTATAATAATATTAAATCTATTTTGGAAACAGAATTTGGACCTTCATATGGCATTCACCATTTCTCTTGGATAGAACAAGACAGATATCTGTTTTTGTATTGGCAAAACAAATTGCAACTATCAAAACTAAGTAGCGAACAACTACAAAACATAAACGACTTCATTCAGTTTATTACAAAAAAATCCAACGGTGTCGCAGTCTTTAACAATATTCGACACACAACGTATTTTAAAGTTTATACAAATTTTCTGTACTTTTTAAAGCAACAGTCTACGATCACAGGTTTAGAAATCCCTGGTCCCGAAGAGTCTTACAACCTACAATGCGACTCAAGAGATAACAAAACAATGCACCTTCAAGATATGTTAAGTGCACCGCCTTTACATTTGTATCTTCTAGCTGAATATACAGTTAATAATATCAAATATATCGATGACAAACAGATCAAATGGGATATTAATGTAACAGGATATATTATGTACGAATACTATATAGAAATCAAACTGAAGAGAATTAAGTTTCAAGAGAAAAACAAAATTGATGTTTATAAGCCAGACAATAGAGTTTTATATGAAAAAGAAAGGACGGAATGTGTAAATAAGCATAAGAAATTAGGTGCCTTTGTAGTATTTTATCCTAATACTGAATTTTTCGACGAAGGAGAGTTAAATGAAATAAATAAGATGATAGATGAACTAAAATATGGAAGAGAAAAATCTGGTTTGATCCGGACCGTAGCAAATAACGTACCGATATTCATACACTTGTCCTTTGCTGAATATTTGGCAGTAGAGTACATTTGCGACAAACTTAAATCACAAGTCACAAAAGAAGGACAAGAGAAAATGTGGGAATTCATAATCAAAGTATTGTTTCGAAGATTTGGAACAGATTGTTTTCACATTTTTAACATAAAATTTAAAATGGATTCTCAGTTGATCGAAATAGCGGAGAGCAACAAACTTTTTATCTTTCAGTTGTTGTCTGATTTAGAAAATCAATCGGATCACCAAAGAAATGATAAAATTGGGTCTGGCTTGCTAGGTGATGAACAGATTAACGAAAATACTGTTCTAGACTTTGAAAAACTGTATAAATTTCCTTTTTCAGCTAGAAAAGATTACATAGTTGTATATCCTGGAAGGAATGAAGGAGCTCACAGGGTTAAATTTTATGATGATGAAAAGTCAGTTCGGGGCATGAGCACAATATTTATGTTTGGATCTCCTGACTACTGAGCCTGACTTGTTTTTTTTTTGACGGGGAAATTCGTTTAATGCCTTCTCCCACCTTGAGTTAGACGAGAGGGAGTGTCAGAGTCTTCAATACATAGTATAAAACAAAGTCGCTTTCGCTGTATGTCCGTATGTATGCTTAGATCTTTAAAACTACGCAACGGATTTTGATGCGGTTTTTTTTAATAGATAGAGTGATTCTTAAGGAAGGTTTGTATGGTTAATACATGCATATAGCACCCGTGCGAAGCCGGGGCGGGTCACTAGTACTGACTAAAGACTACCCCGTTCCTACCCCTGCTCTTCGAACCGGGGCCCCGGCAACTTAGGCCTTAGGCGGCTCCGAATCGGGCATGAGCCGTACTGGGCATGGTGGTCTGGTGGGTCTTTGGGGCGCGTAGCCTGACTACTAGTTCCGGTTCGTGAAGCCTAATTAGTGATTATATTACTACTTAACCTGCGACTCAAAACACACATCTGTTCTTAGAGGTACTTAATAGTCCTAAATTGTTAAAATTGTAAGTATTTGTATGGCTGTATAATTATAATATTACAATGTATCTGCCAATATGCACGATGACGGAGTACAAAAATTAAA